CAGGTACTGGGTGAAAGGACCTCTGTTTGTGTTAGAAATCTAAAGGAGTTTATACTTAGAAGTTACGTTAGCTAAAAAATGAAATTTTGACCGCCYCAAGGAATATATTTACATTAGTAGCAAATTTCTAATAACAGTTTTGAAAGCCGTTTGTAGGCAGAGCATTTATGCCATATTATTCCAGTTGTTCCGTTCCGGATTTTGGCATACGTAATTAGGTTCCATATATAAACGTGCACATTCGCACAAAAATCAAAATACTTCATTTAAAACGTAAATACAGGCTAATATTTGCTCAAGATCTCTTTCATAATTGCTGTACATTTTATAATTTATCGATAATAATAATATTGCTATGTACCTCATGTTCCTTTGTGAGTAGACTTTGAAGCGAAAACAGTTCATATAAAATAAGTATAGGTTATAACGGACTGTATTGTGAAGTTCAAGATAATAACGATAATAAGATAATAAGATGATATCACAGGTATCCCAGTAATAAGTTTTGCTACTTGCGTAACGGCTCGAAGCAAAAGCTCATTAGATTGTTTTATTGATCAACAGCCATCAACATGGGTCGACGCCCTGCCGCTTCTACTGGTTGGCGCTCTGTCGATGTTTTCACCAAAAGGTGGAGAAAATGTTTGCAGCTTCCAGTGGAACGATAGCATCACATCCCAAAATAATACTCCTGTTGTGTTTGACTATCGTTGGATGCTTCTCAATCGGTTTTGCTTGGCTGAACTTCGAAAAAAGATCGTCTAAGATTTTTGTGCCGCAAGCAAGCCAAGGAATGAAGGACTTAAAAAAAGCCGAACAGCATTTCAGGCTCAACTTACGTCAAGAGATAATAATTCTTGTCCCGAAATCCAATGAGAAACTCTTGTCAGTAGAATGCTTAAAGGACGCACTTGCGATCCACCAGAAGATTGTCAATCTAAACCAGTACTCCAAGATCTGTGCAACTCTGTCTGGTATTGAGGGCTCCTCATCCGACGAATGCATGTTTATAAATCCTTTAGAAATATTCAAATTCCAAGAGAAGAACTTAGTCAACATAAGTTCACAACTCGGTGTTGCATCTCTTTGTCCTTCGCCCGCTCTCATGAGCAATGGCAGACCTTCTTGTCAAAATATGAAACGCATGTTTGGGAATGACAAAAAGAACATTGGCAACATCTCAGACGTTCAAGCAATGCGACTCGTTTATTATCTGAGAGAGGCAGACTCTGATGAAGACTACGACAAAGTTATTGCCTGGGAACAAGCGTTTCTCGATATGTTGTCATCATTAAAGAATAACATGACCTGTGCAGAGATCCTTTATGAAGCCGAACGCAGTTTAGATGATGCTATTGATGACAGCAGCAGTTCGGATATAAGGTAATGGCTTCTTTGTCACAAGCAAATATTCCCCCTTCGGTCAAATAACTATACTGAGAGAGGTTATCTGTTCTTGTTTTGGCGCTCACCTGCAGCGAAGTAGAACCTCTGGAAACCGAGGGTATATATATATATTAGTCAGAACGCGTACCCCCCCGTACCCCCCC